CCATCCTGTTTCCCAAACTGCCTTTTACTGTTCACCACTGGGGACTGACTCACAGCCTCCATGGCTCGTTGGCCTGACTGAATATGGAAGTTCTTGTGTCTTTACGTTGTGGCCTCAATCTTTAAGTCTATTCTGACTGAACCGCTACAGCCTCTTTTCTTATTGCTCCCGTCCTTGGAGCCATGCACCAGGGAAGAGTTAGTAGAGGAGTCCAGCCAAGGCCTTGACCAACACTTTTTGTCTGAAAAGGATCAGAGGAGGAAGCAAATACCGGAAAGGGCTCTTTAATGGAAGCCCATAGCCTCAGTCCATGGTGCCTTGTGATGTGCTCGCCTTCAGGCTCCCTGGGATGGTGGCTTATGCTGTTCTTCTTGGGAGCTGGGCTACACTTGGGCCATTCAGTTCACATCAACAAGTAGAAATGGCATGAACAATATTACCCAACATGAAGAGGAGTACAAAACCTTCTATCATCTGGTGTTTTATGGTAGGGGACTTTCAATGCCCCTGGAACTCAAAATTTCTTCCTAGTGATGCTGTGATTGTGTCTGAAGGAGCAGTTTAGCAGTCAGTCCCCTCATCTCCCATTTCTCCCCCCTCTCCCATGACTATTTGCCCTCCTGAGAAGGTAGCTCTGGTCTCTGTGCTCTCATTTCCCTGATGTTGTCACTGCCACACTCTCCAGATTGTGATATCTCCCTGCTGAGGCAGGAATAATTCCAGATTTCTTGGCTTCTGAGTTGGGAGGGAATGCATTCATGCCAATCACCGCAACTCTAGGGAAGCTCAATTCGCCAATTTATAATACAGTTCAACATGTTTCAAATTCGACCTCCTGCCATTTACAATGTGATGTGAATTCCTTTTCAGTGCTGCATTTGAGGGCAGTTAGTGCTGTTCTGGAGCACTTGCTTACCTTTTGCCTACACACAGTGAAGGCAATAATTAATCAAGGAGAAAAGAACTGTGGAGCTAATTGTCATATGGCTGTTATGACTGTTTAAAAAGTTTTCAAAAAGGGACAGGTCGTTTTCATGAATAACAGGCGTATTTAAATTTAAATTAAGGCTTATAAATTTAAGCCAGCTTCCATCTACCAAGAGCCAGGAAAAGGGCTGTGGAGGACAAATTACTCCTATGAGTATTATTCTTCCTCAGGCTTTGAGATGAGTGAATATGACAAGGTCAGCTTTGCCCTTTCACCAAACATTAACTACGCTGCAGGTCTCCCATTACTCACTGCCTTTCTTGCCCAATTTGGGACACGTCTTTCATTCACTGCCCGCCTCAGACCCCATCCTGGCTACACAGATAAACTTTATGCATGGGGTAAGCTCCTGAGCCCAACGGAACAGTCTCATGTGAATAGTGCCTGAAATGAGGGGCCCCTCATCTCATCCAGTATTCCTCTAGATGCTTTAAATGTACTAAATTGTGATGATAATGTTCACCAGCAGTGCCGGTAAATGAGAGCAGCTCTCTCAGGTGGCTGGCAAGAGATCTTCCCCTTGTGACACCAATTGACTTCGCTGCAGTCCTCCACCTGGGTGCCCTGCAGCCTCCACACACCGTATTAACCCCGCTGTTGTTTCTCCTTCCCTGCTAGGATCCTGACACAGTCCTGTCTCCAGCTTTTCCTGCCCTTGGCTACAAATCACATTACTGCCACTGTGATTTCTCTGCTAGTAGTGGTTAGGAGACAGAGACAAACAGAAACCATGTGCTCTGGGCTCTCTACAAACACAAACAAACTTTGAGTCTCCAGTTGGGACTCTTACTAAAAAGGAAAGGGAAAAACAACAACAACAACAAAAGAGAAGAGGTTAAAACTATTCTGTGCCTGGGGTCACATCCCTGCCTGAGCCATTGAGAAACTTTGCGGCTGTGTGTTTCTCAGCCTGACTATACTGGTGTTTCCATTAAAACCCTAATTGCTATTAACACCAGCAGAGTAGTGGCCCAGACATCACAAAAGCAGCTCCTGCCCCTCTCCTGATGTGCTGCTTTGCCAAGGCAGCAACGTGTGGGGAATGTGGCTGGGGAGAGACTGCAGCCAGAAAAGCAAAATACTTGCTCCACAGCCTCTTCATTACTCTGTTAGCCCCAAATCCAGGAAGCTTTTTAGCAGGTTTTGGGAAATTCCAGCTGCTGGCCACATTTATACTTTCCTTAATTTTATACCAGGATCACATCTTCCCTCAGCACATGTGGCATCTTGAAAACAAGGAGAGTTTTAATCATAATTATCTGTAGAGCCTGGCAGTTCCCAACACGGACCAGATTCTCTTGCTCTGGATACTGAACACACATCACTGAAAATCTGCCTCTGTCCCAAGCGTTTCACGATCCCAGCAAAAGCTGGATGCAGACAGGGCAAAGAAGACAAAACAGTAGGAGCAAGAAGTAGTAAGGAGGGCAGGGATCATGCAGCCTGGACGTGCTGAGGTTGTCTTTATATTCCAAACCACAGAAGAGAATGTGATTTTGATGATTAGGATCCTATTGGGGGGGTGGAGGGGGAGGAAGCTCTTTTTAGGAACTAAACCAAAAAGTTTACAACTTTGTCTTTGATCCTGTTTGCCTCTTCAGCCAGACCAATGTCCTGCTGTAAATCGTGTGGGATTAAGGTTTATTCCAGACAAATTTAGTGACATTCCAGCATATGGGATGGTTACACTACATCTAAATGGAAGCATGCAGCAAGGATATTTTTTTCCCCACTTGTTTATCTTCTCTCTGTCAAGAAATACATTCAGGTGGCAAGTGTGCTGGATCTGTTTTGTTGTTAGAGCTCTCAAAAGCAATTAATTTCATGCCAGTAACTCTACATTTTGACCTGAATTTCCTCAGTTTCTAGTCCCCTGCCTCCCTCTACCCCTAGAAGCTGTATTTCAAACTCCTTCCTTAATCTGCTAATCCTTAACCTGGAGGGAGTGAATAAAACATCTAGGTGAACAACAGCCACGGGATATTTATGTGCAGAATGATAAACAGAGAACAGATCTTAATAGCACATTTCAAAGTCTGTCCTGAGCCGGGTGGGTTCCTGGGGTTCAGGGTGAAAGCCAGTAGGGGTTGGTTGCCTAGTTTCTTTGAAAGCCTAAGCATGAACCTTTGCCTTGTGTGAAGAAGTGAAATTTTCCAAGTGAGACGTGTCTCTGACACGTTCCCTGATAGCACAGGTTCCACTGAGAGCAACGCTTTTAGGTTTTGTAGCCTAAATAAAAGCAAACGGAGCTGGAGATTTGTTTTCCAAATTGACTCCAGTCATGAGTCACTGAAGCTCTCAAAACCAAATATCAATTTCATACCTGGCGCCTGAGTTGTTAAACTCAGAAGTTGTTTTAACATTCACTTAGTAGGGTTATAGCTCTGAGCATCAATCTGTAAGTTGCAGTACCTCATATGTGGAAGGTCTTCTATTTGTTCTTTTGCTGGATTGCTGTGAAATCTTTGAGAGATTTGTGAGGCTGAGGGACATAACAGAATTGCTTCTGGCCCTAAGACTGATTTATCAAGTCCTAGGAGAAGTGCAATAAGTGTTTCATGATGGCAAAAGAGTGTTTGTTATTTCAAAGGCTGGCTTGTTTGTCATGCAAAAGACCTGAGGCAACAGCAAAGTTGGTTACTGGATTGTGCCTTCTCTTTTTGCTGTCACTGGGATAAGCTACGGTCAGGTACAGTTGGGCAGGTTTAAGAACACCACTTTCTGTGTTTGTCCCATGGTATTTGAGAGCTTCTTTTGCAACCAGGGAGACTGACAATGGCAAATGCAGAATCCTAACCCAATGAGCCCGGGAAAAGCACTGGCTGTTTGAACCCCCGTGGAGGTGATTTTAGTAACTGGAGCTTTTTGCATTTAGCTGCAACTTGGCACTCGCTTTCCTTTACTGGTTCGCAAAGAATGAGAAGACAAATGCTAAATGCTCTTGTCTTAGACTGAATCTGCAGCGAGTAACCTTCTGTCTGGCTTCAGCAGCAAGCACTATTTAAAGTGTCCCCTCTTTTGTTTCATGACACTGTCCCAACTTATTATAGCTCATATTTTACATTTCATCTGAATGGGGGATGGGGAAGGTCTAAAACAAGGCACAAATATTTTCTGGGAAAGGAGAATATGCAGCTCTACCTCATTTAAGAAATCTTGGTACAGCCAGCTAAGCCCAGGGCTGAAAACCAGGCAGTCCGTGCTCTCCTGTTACCTTAATGGGTCTGAATACTTAGAACTTTACACATCAAGCCTGTTCAAGACACTAATCAAATGTAAACTACTCCACTGCCACTCCAGCATGGGTATTTGTCACCAAATCTCCTTCTGTGAACAATGCAACAGACTCCAACGTGTGCAGCCTGGTTGTTTAGGGGCTTATCAGTTCTAGTACCCATAACGGAGCTGATGGGATGGGATGGGATGGGATGGGATGGGATGGGATGGGATGGGATGGGATGGGATGGGATGGAGGGGAGCAAAAATGATAACCAAGGGTGAAATGACCATTTGAATATTTGGGTCTTCCCAGTACATCCTGTTTGATTTGCTTGAATTGATTCTTGTCAAAGGGAGCTCCTCATGTTATCAAAACAAATCGTTGTACATGGCTTTGCAAAATGTTATGCTGTGTTTCTGGAAGAAAGGTGTATAGCAAGGGAAAGAAGCATCTTCCCGTTGCTGTTTTATATTTATGTCATTTATTTGTGTTATGACTACACTCCAAAACCTGGGCTTTGGCTGTGGAACTGGCTGGGCAATTTACCCCAGACCAGATCCAGGTATGCTTACTGGTAAAGATATAAGCTACAGACAGCCTCAGAGACTGTTCTTGCTGACCCATTGGACATACAAACCTCCTGTTTCATAGTGTAATCGAGGTAGTGGAGGGGGTTAAACCATGAGAAATTTTTCAAGTCAACAGAATTAGCTTGTTTATTTTATATAGTCATTAAAGTAGATATGTATATATTCACTATATATGATGATTAAAATGTATTTCCCTGTTTAGGAGTATCCGATGCCTGCGGAATATTATCCACTGGAACTTGATCACCACATTCATCCTGAGGAATGTGATGTGGTTCCTGCTTCAAATGATAGATCACAACATACATGAAAGCAATGAAGTAAGTGCTGGGAGGCAGCATGTCTCTGTCATGTAGTTTGGGGACAGCCAGTGATGCTGAAAGTTGTTCAGAGTATTACAAAGGGCACCTTTCCACATGCTGAGAGTGACTTTCATGTAATTTCAATGAGATGAAGAATATGAGCTTAGATTTGCAAAAACTTCATTTATTTCCTCATTACTTCATATCAAAGGAGGGGTTTGAAGTAAAAATCCCGCCCAAAAGCTTATCTGTGTTCTTCATTGACCGTAGATACTTTCCATATTTATACACTGTGAGACACAGTATTGTGAGAGACACTAAATTTGGTGTTTCTTGAACATTTATGTCAGAGCATCTTGCAGTGATGTGCAGTTGTGTAGGGAAAACATTCATTCCAGAGGGCAACATCTCCATCAACAGAGTACAGAAATAATTGATGTGGCTGTTGAGGCTCTGAGTCAGCTACCTCGATGACAGTGGGCACCTTGCTGTCTGCAGACAGTGGGACTCCCAAGAAAATAAGAGATAGGGCCTGAAACAGTACACTTTTTGCTTCTTGATGCCTTTTTGGAATAAAAAAGGTCCATTTTTCTGCTAATCCCTTCTTCACCATACTGGCCTCTGTGATATGGGCTGCATCCAGCAGCAAGTCCCTGTCACTGAAAGGGGTGGCTCCTTCCTTCAGGGACCCCAACGCTTCACTCCGACTCCTGCTGCTTATTTTGCACTAACTCTGGTCCTTTTCTTGATCCTTTGGAGAGGACTGAACCCTTGGAAGCTGAACTCACTAAACTGGTGGAAAACTGACCTAGCGAACAAAAAAGCAAGGAAGAATTTTCTGCTGGTGTAGTGATTGACGTCAGCTCTCTGATGGGTGATTGAGAGTCAGAGCCAGTTCAAGGTTCCTCCTGTTTAGTCACCCAGCAGCCCAAGTAATACAAGGATTTTGGAGTGGGTTAAAAGCATCCACTCTGAAAGAAAAAACATTTCTCTTGATTTTCTTGGGGAATAGTTCTTTTTGATAGTCCTTCGGCTAAAGTTTTTACTGTTCTTATTCCCTTTGTAATATTCTTAGAGTGGAATATTTTTTTTAGAGTTGTCCCCTGATATTTACCTCCATAATCAAGAAAAAACAGTGTGCTACAAACACACAGGCATACACACACCCCCCCTTCAAACTCTTTCTCTTTGGAAAGCAGGTGGACTAAAGTGCTTATAGATTATGAGCTGATATCAATCAATGGGGCTCCACTTGCATAGGAGCTGGTCCTGTAGAAATTAGAAACCACCTCAGGAGCCTGGATATCCACTCATTTTACTGTCAGATGGGTACTCATTGTCCTTGGTTAACTTTTCAAATGTGAGATTTGATATCTGAACTTTAATCCCATACTTTGGGAAAACAAATAGAAAAGTCGTTAGTACCTAGATAAAGAAATCTAAGAATCAAAGTTTTTTGGGACATCTGTTCATAACTTTGTATTATTATTCAACCAGATGCTCCTTTGAGAAGACGTGGCTTGTGTTAACTCACTGTTTGCTTTGTCTGTGTTTCTGACATTTTCAGGCTACAGAAGATGGTGGTATATGAGCTTTAGTGTTGACAGTTTTATGCTGCGTGATTTACTCTCATGAAAATACTGCAAGTCTTAATACAAATTTTTACAGTTATTTAGGAAAAATCAGTTAGAGTCAGGCACTCAAATGGTTTTTAAAATACGACCACAAAACACCAAGGAAAATATAAACCTATAAATGTACGGACAAATCCTCACATGCCTCAGTTTTCATTAATGCATCTTGTCTCTGCAGAACACTGCAGTCTTTTTGGGAAAGAGCTTTATACAAGCTTAGTGATAACTTTGTTATGGTCTTATTGTGGTATACGTCAGAGTTAAAATAATGCTACCAAAATCAATGGGAGCAACATCATTTATGCCAGCTAATGATGAGATCTCTTCTGTGCTGATCAGTGGAGATTAAATAATGAATGCAGTTACAGAAGCATCAAGGACTCAATGTGGGAACATTCTGCATGAAGTTATAGTGCTTATGCTAATAAATCAAGAAGGGGAATTGCTGAAGATACCTGGAGCCTAATGATGGGTACATGTGGGGATCAAGAATCCTCAGTCAAATAAATGAAAAGGTATAAATTAATGAGTTCTGCTAATTGGGTTTATTATTTAATAAAAATAAATCCACAATTCCGAAAGGAATTGCTCAAAATTCATTTTATTCTGGTTTCCTATGGAAACGATGCAGAAGGAGATCTCACCACCACCATAAGTATTTGTCTCTATCTGTCCCAGTGCCTTCCCAACTCACTGGTCAGTTCCACTCAGCTGTGACACAGGAACAATGAGCTCAGATATAATTATTTTTTACAATTCTTATGAAAATGGGCAGTCGTGGAGAGGACAAAAACTGTGTAGGGGTTGCAACTGAGGAGTTCCAAGGAGTGGAACAAGAGTCTAGACATTATATCAGAAAATTTACATGAGAATGAGACCACAGGGAAAGATTTAATTCATGCTCATAACTTTGAAAAATCAAATGTGAGACTTAGAGTCTTTGGAAACCTGGTCTTACTAGTTTGGGGGTCAGGAATGGAGCTAAGATATTTGTTTGGTGTTAGCCAAAAAATAGGGGTTTTTTTTGGTTTGTGGTTTTATTTTCCTTTGCTCAGGCTAAGAGGAGAAGCAAAAAAGAAAATTTAATTTGGTTTAAACAAAACTTTGAAAATAAAGCATTTCATCTTCTTCTCAGTTGCTCTGGTTTTTAATCCTATTTTACAGATGAAGCCAAACTAAATTTCAAATCTTAATGAAATATTAACACATCCAAAAGATTTCTTCTGTTTATTTCAGCTCAATAAACAGAAGTGATCACAACTCGTGAATGGGCTCTCATTCTGTAACTGTGTGTCTTGTCCAATAAATTCTTAGTCCACAGCATTTTGCTGGGTTTGATAGTGCATCTGCTGCTCTGTTGACTGCCTAGAGATCATCAATACCTCGTGCATATGAAGTCTGAAATAAAATTAACTGAGGGTCAAAAGTTTCAAATACTTTAGTAGAGTTAATTAAAAGGCTGGAGAATGGTGAGACCCAAATGACATCAGTGATACCAGCTAACATAGGTAATTAATGTCATGCTTCAGGGAATACGCTGAATGGCTGCTTGGCCAGAAAGAAATTTTCCCAGATTTCTGTGTGGAAATTACCATCAGCAGTTACTTGTGATTTATTGATGTGGTGTTCCCATCTGCCTCTCTGCAGCTGATTTTGTATTCCACAGATGTGGTCTCACTGCACAGCCATTAGGAGAAGATGTCTTAACTGCTACAAAATTCCCGTTGAAGTTATGGCAAAATTCAGGGGTGCTGTGTGTAGTGATGTGACTTCCACCCTGAAGCACTAATGGCAGGAACAGAGGGGATGAATTAGCTGAGAAAAGTGTATCTTTAAAGTGAAATATCTTTTTTCTAAACGTCTGTTGTGCTTCCTCCCTTCTGTGGAAATGAAGCGAGACTGTAATATTAACTTCTATCTTACATTTTCTTGGAATTGCTCAGCAGGTGGGTTATTCCGCTTAAAATATGCTTAGACTCTTACGTCATCTTTGGATACGACCCTGGGCTATGGCTGTACCTCCCTGAAAGATCATCTGTAGTCAAATGACCTGCCTCCTCTTGTCTTCTTTCCACGTGGCTGCTTCTCAAACTGCTTGCAGACTGCTGCTGTGGACGTGCCTTGTGACATGTTCACTTTCCAGACATGCTCAGGTACAGGAGATCCTGCGTGTTGTGGTCAAAGCCAAGCCTCAGCAGAAACTCACAGACACAGCTGGGAATTGCTGACAGCACCCAAGATATTCCATTTCCAAGATAAATCTGTGTCCCATGAATGAATTCTAGCGTTGATTTTTAAGGGAAAAACCAGATATAGAATTTTTTTTTTTAATGTTCTCGCCATGATTTTAAAATGTTCTTTTCTGTTTCCTTTCCAGCCCTGGTGTCGATGTATTACCACCGTCTACAATTATTTCGTGGTGACCAACTTCTTCTGGATGTTTGTGGAAGGCTGCTACTTACACACCGCTATCGTGATGACTTACTCCACAGACAAACTGCGGAAATGGGTCTTTCTCTTCATAGGATGGTGTAAGTGCCTTGTGTGTTTAAAATGGTGTTGCGTGGTACCTGGCATTAAAGTGATAAAGACAAAAACAGCAAGAATAGACTTTAAAAATCTCACTGTGGTGAAATCTGACATTCAAATCTAGCTTTGTCAGAACATGAGATCAGGTTTGGTTCTTCACTGCGGTGATGACACAAAGCTAATAGGTTATTGCTGGTTTTATCTTCTTCATTTAGATCCTTGGGCAGCTGGTGTTAAGGACAGAAAGAGAACTCCCAGGCTCAGCATTTTGGGAGTAAAGCAGTTCATACCATGTCCCTTTCGTTTTGATCAGCAGAGCAGTGAGCACAGCCTCTTATACACTGCTGCTTCACAGGACATGGAACAGAAAATGCACTGTCCATGCCCTCTGGACCACTCGGTCTCCAGAGTCAGACGAGACGCTTCTAAGCGAGAAGCTGACAAGAAGAGAAGCCTAATTATCTGCCAGTCCAACCTTACAGCTGCCTTTTGTCTGCTGAAGGGTTTGTTCCTAGAAAGCAGCCCTTGATAGAGCCACATGTCAACTTTGTACTATTCTTGTGGCTACTCAAAGACAGAAAAAGAGCTCATTGCATGCTGTTACCTCCCTTCTACTGTGTCAGCCTGGGCCAGAGCAAAGGCTGCTCCTTTTCTCTACCTGCATCCATGCAAGCTGGTCCATCAGCGCAGGCTGGGAATCAACTGTTGGAGTAGCAGCCCTGCTGAAAAGGCTGTAGGGCTTGCAGTGGATGTGGGCTTGTTATGAGCTATCAGTGCCTCCTCGTCACAAATATGGTAAAACACATAATCTGGGACTAGAAGACTGAGGGAAGTTATTAATACTTTCTACTCAGCTTTGGTAAGGCTGCCTTTGGAATACTGTGGTCAGTTTGGGGTCTCTTAGGTCAAAGGGGATGTGAAAAAATTGGAGATTATTCAATAGAAGGCTGTCAATGTGATCAGGGATCTAGACGACATGACATGTGAAGTGAGGCTGAAGGAGCTGAGCTTGTTTAATCTGGCAAAGAGGAGGGATCCCTAAGGAGGGATCTCTTGGGTACCAAGAATGATTTGAAGAATAATTGCAAAGATGATGGAGCCAAATTCTTCTTGATAATAGGATATGTTATAAGAAGGGACAACTACCACAAATCGCAGACTGGGAGGTTCCAGTTGGACATTAAGAAAATAGAAAATATGCCAAAAAGTTAGGGCAACACTGAACAGATGATGTAGAAGCTGTGGAATCTCTCACCCTGGAGGTATTGAAAATTCAGCAAGGCTAAGCCCTGGCTGAGGTTAGCTGGTGTTGATAGCTCTGCTTTGAGCAGGAGATTGGGCTGGAAACCTTCAGAGGTCCTTCCCAACCACTATATCCATGATTTTAACTTGGCCAGTTTGGCAAGACAAGCCCCATGTGGACAGCTTGTTTGCTTGAATGCAAAATCTGAGGTAAAACAGAACTTGTGAATTTGACAGTTCTTTTCTGTTGAAAGAAGAAAGGTGGAAAAAAGTAGCAAATATTTTATTTTCTGGAAGTAGAATGACATTTTGTTCAGAAATGCCTCTTCCTCTCAGAATTGAGCAAAAGTAATTGGATTGCAGTTCTGAAGGCAGGAATAGCCTTTAAAACAAAATATATCATTCAATCCAAAATCAAATGGGAGGAAAGAGGAGTTGTAGAAGAAAGAAAATGTTTATGTGGGGAATTGATTCCATTTTTTTTTCAATATTTCTCAGTTCTGTCACCAAACTGGAAAATCAGCTGCTCACACAGCTCTCACGGACCCCGTGTGTTGTTCCCTGGTATTTTCCCTCTCTACCTCTCTCAGAGCGCACTGGGTCTCTGATCACTAATGTAGGAGTGGTGTAAGCTGAATATATCTTTCCTCTCACCATTTTGGGTGCTCTCCAGCTCTGCTTTGCCTTCCCATACACAATCTTTTATCATCTTTATGCTCAAATCCCTGTTCTTCACTTCACAAGGAAAAGTCAAATGTTCTCATAGAATCATAGAATGATTTGGGTTGGAAAAGACCTTAAAGATCATCAAGTTCCAACTCCTCTGCCAGAGGCAGGGACTCCTCCCACTAGACCAGGCTGCTCAAAGCCCCATCCAGCCTGGCCTTGAACATCTCCAGGCGTCCAGAGCTTCTCTGGGCAATCTGTGCCAGTGTCACACCAACTTTAGTGAAAAATTTCTTCCTGATATTTAATCTAAATCTACCCTCTACCAGTTTGAAGCCATTATCCCTCGTTCTATCACTACGTGCCTTTGTAAAAGGTACCTCTCCAGTTTTCTTGTAGGCCCCCTTCAGATACTGGAAGGCTGCTATAAGGCGTCTTCTCTTCTCCAGGCTGAACAACCCCAACTCTCTTAGCCTGTCATAAGAGAGATGCCCCAGCCCTCTGATCATCTGTAGGAGAAAGGACATGGCTACATTTTGTCTGTTCATGCCCAAAAAAACATGGGGGAAATGTGCACCAGATCCTTTGAGTCAATTGTGAACAAGATGGAAGACAACACAATCACTTGAAGAGCACACTTTCCTCCTCCAAAAAATCTTCAAACCAGCTGGACTCTGAAGGCCTAGCACAAACCAAGCACAAATAAAGAGGCCTTAGCAATTGTGATGTCTCAAGTATACCAAGATAGGACCACTTGTATTTAGAGTCTTCTGTTCATTAATCAAGACTCTTCTCACACAAATCTGAATCTACATCTGTATCATCCAGCCATGCATGGGTTGTGATTAACTCCTGATTTTTTTGCTGTTGCAGGTATTCCTTGCCCAATCATCATTGCCTGGGCCATTGGCAAACTATATTATGAAAATGAACAGTAAGTGATGTTAACGTTTGTGTTTATGTGGCTTTCTAAATAAATTAATAAGTTGCTGCAGGCTGAACTGGTAATATAGAAATAATCCTGATTGATAGGAAAGAGGAGAGGTCACATTATCTCCATCCAAATCCAGACCATCTCAAATTTCAGAGCACTACCTGAGTCAACTCCCAGAAATACCTTTCCCAAATATCCTTGGCCGAGCCCTGAAGCTTTCATTTGATAGCTTTATACATGATTTAGGGTCAGGTTAATCTCTTTCAACGAGAGTTTTGCTTGAGTAAGACCTTGGTAAAAACTACAGTTGAGTGCTAAAGGATTTAGCCATCTGGGTGTGCAGGATTCGGTTGACAGTCTGCCAAGAATAGTCTTATGGCTGGAATTTTTGCATTTTTGTTTCTGGCTTTTCCAGTTGGAAGCAGTTAGTGCATGAAATTGAAAAATATGGAAGAGAAAGAGGCATCTGTGTTTTGGGAGTTTTTCCCTCAAACATCGATATTGGTCAGATACAGCTCGGGTTGCACATTTCAACTAGCGTTTGGATCAATGTCTATTCTCTGTGACAGCTCCCTTCCCTAATGTTAAAAAAATTCTTTTCTCCATTAATCTGTTTTTCATATGGCCACACTGTCTGTCTGTAGTGCGTCTGATTAAATGTAGGTGTCCACCTTGTAGGTGTCTGCCTCTGCTCTAATCTGTGGTCTCGTGTGATCAGCAGTGATCAGACAAAGCAGTATATGAGTCTGGGGTGCATTTCATCACATCTGGAAGGAGATGTCCAAAGTAGGTTGGATGAACTAGACTTACCTTCACTATCTCTCCTGACTAAAAGGGAGGTGGAGAGGATGACTGGCTCAGCTTTGGGCATCTCTGCTGTAGGTGTGAGAGGAATTCTGTTATGCACTACTAAGTTCCTCTTCTCTGCTCCCCACAAACTTTTGAACCCTTGACCAATCTCTCTTCTGTAGCTTTAAAGATGACTTTGAAGGTGATAATCTAATTTCCAGAATTTACACTTATTGTCAAGCAGACAGACACCCTTTCACCGAGGGAGTTTTGTGTGATTCCATCCCTGCCTACAATAACCATACAAGAGAATTCATACGGTAGTCTCAAAATGGCAAGAAAAACTTCTGTTGGAACCTGTTCCTTGGGTGTCCAGTTCAATCAGCCCTGGGTGTTAACCTCAGATCACCAGATTTCCCTAATTTCTGTGTTCACAGACCTTCTTATTTCTGGATGGGTCAAGGATCACAACATTCTGGGTCTGCTTTGTGGTCGTGCACAAGCTGGGGCAGCATGGCAGCTGTCTCATTGTGCTGAAGTAGGGCTTTTAGCTCTAGAACTAGAGCTGAGGGAACTGGTCACCTTAAACAGCATGAAACAAAATACCAAAACTGAGGCAAAACACCATGGGCTTTAATACTGGTGATTCACACCAAACATTCCTGTTGTGAGTTCAACACCAAGGTCTGAACACCTCATTTTGGAAGGCTGCTCATCACTGCCAAAAGAAATAATGCATGGTCACATTCCTTCTAGTGGTTGTCGTGCACAAGCTGGGGCAGCATGGCAGCTGTCTCATTGTGGTCGTGCACAAGCTGGGGCAGCATGGCAGCTGTCTCATTGTGCTGAAGTAGGGCTTTTAGCTCTAGAACTAGAGCTGAGGGAACTGGTCACCTTAAACAGCATGAAACAAAATACCAAAACTGAGGCAAAACACCATGGGCTTTAATACTGGTGATTCACACCAAACATTCCTGTTGTGAGTTCAACACCAAGGTCTGAACACCTCATTTTGGAAGGCTGCTCATCACTGCCAAAAGAAATAATGGAAGGTAGGACCCTTGATAGATGCCACAACAACTGAGATTGCACTGCACACAAGGTGGGTAGATGAAGAAACCACTGCACCATCGGTACCACTGCCTCCTTTCACCATCACTGTATACCCACAAAGTGAATGTGAAAGAATCTCCCCTCACTGTGTTACGGATGTGAAGAAAGACACGACATGTTTACAGAGGTATGAATGCCACCTTTCACCAGCGAAGGTGTGACTGGCCCAGATCCTGTGCAGCAGAAGAAAGGGAGATACAAAATACAGGCAGCAGAGCAAGAAAGACGAAGTGATCCCATTTGGTATGCAGAATATCCGGGCTGCTCCTGTTGAGTCTCTAAGGCTCAAGCTCTGTGCCTTGGGTGGATTATCAAATGGAACTTGTGCATTTAAATCCATGCCATGGACAAACCCATATACACATCATCTGCCCCACGTGCTTACTGATAAGCGAGGTGCCAGGTTACTCTTGATTGACCCTGACAATTAAACCTAATGTCTTGTGTATGAAGAAGGCAGAGCCAGACACTTCTCAGTGGTGCCCAGTGACAGGACAAGAGGCAGTGGCACAAACTGAAACACATGAAATTCCATCTGAAAATCACCTTTTTACTGTGAGGATGGACACTAGAAGAGGTTGTCCAGGGAAGTTATGGAGTCTTTGTCCTTGGAGCTACTCAAAAGCCAGCTGGGCACAGCTCTGAGCATCCTGCATCAAATGACTCTGCTGGACCAGACAATCTCCAGAGGTCCCTGCCAGCCTCAGCTATTTCATGAAAGCAAGCTGATCTCCCCAATCAGCTTAGCTGTTATGCTCCATTTATCTTGACCACAGGGGAAATCATGTGTTATTCCCCCATGAGGTTAGACCTAACAAACTGGACACATGCAGAGAACATGTACTCTCCTGCAGCTTCCAAGGCTGTTTGGGTATCCCAGTGGACAGCCCAAAATTCAGATCAAAACGGGAAACTGCTCTTCTTCATCTGACTGTGCATTTGAACTGCAACTTACGTTGTTTGGAGGTTGAACTAGAATTCAAATTACGTCTCTCTTTCACACAGGAGTGTAAAACAGTCACAATAGTCCTTCACACGGGAAGAACATTAAGAAAATGCTTCAACCAGCTTCCTAATGTTTTCATTTTCATTCTTACTAGGGACCGTGCTCTGCATATCGAGGCTGTATTTGTCTCAATATTGGTACTGTGGCAAACATCCTGTCTGGCGTTTAGCAGTTCTTTAGCAAAATCTGACAACTCTGAAAAAAGTACTGTTAAGTCTCAATAAGAAAAAGCACACAAATGATTAAGAGCTACTGTAATTTCATTGATGGACAGCTGGTAAGGGGAAGAACATTAGTAATATCTAATTAACCGCAGTGATAAAACCAGTGTTGGGTTTTGTTATGTAAAGAACTATCAGAGAACCATGAAGAATATTAATTAGTGCTATTGAATAGAAGTATGTTTACATATCTGAGTCTAATCAGAACTGTCTTCCTAAATTGTGCTCTTCAATTTTCAGGGAGTGTTTGTTTATTCTTTCAGAGGTTAAAAAAGAAAAAGAAAAAGGCTTTTTTGTTTTTTCACATAGATGGAATTAAACTTGTGATGCATCAATTAATTTTCAGTGGTTTGGGTTTCTCTTTTTGGTTCGAAAGAAATGTGCAGTCCTGATTCTATTGCAGAAATAACAGCTTGTGTTGGATTTAAAGTAAGAGTTAAGATGACAGGCAGAAAAGTTTGCAATATCTCAGCTAAGGACCCAGTTTGAACAGTTAGACTGTAAATGTGGAATACAGCTGATCATATGCAAACATATGTAATGTCATATCTGTCCTCTCGCCATTACTCTCCTGATTCAATTGGTGTATTAGAAACGTTTAGATTACAGTGTAACAGTTCTGTTTTAGAGCCTAATAAGATTAACACCTTCCTAGAAAAACTGCTGCTCTTTATTCTTTTTTTTCCAATAACTCCTGGAGCATTAAGGTCCCACGGATGTCCCTGTGTTGAAGTCTTTCTTTGGCAACAACCTTGTTCCCTCAAATTGTGTGGAAGTGTGTATATACACATGATGCTTCAGTCAATGCAGCCTTGGTCTAATACTGGCCTTCAGAGAATATATGTCAGCATTTTGCTTTTCAGTATGGTCTTACAGTTAAGCAGTATTCAAATTCCAAAGAGCAATGAGCAGCCTTTGCCCTGGAACATCATTTGTGCTCTACCAGCTCTGTTCCAAATTCTCTGCTGGCTTTTTCTAGTCCACTAAGTTCTTCCACGTGCCTCAGTCTGTTCCTTATTAGTCCCTCTGCTAGATTCCTCTGCTAGAACAGCCAGCTTCTCTAATAGATCTTGCTTCTCTGAGTTTCAGGCAATATAGTTCTCCCAAAATGCCCTTCAAAACCTCTCTCAAATCTAGGTCTTGCAAGTCCTGGAGAGTTGTGTTTCCTGCTTTGGCATCTCTTGCAATTAATTTTTCTTCATATCTTTCCATCTCCATAACAAAAAAACCCACCCAAAAATCAGTTTCCTTCATTTAAGACTGCCTTGGGGATTCTTCTTGGATGATAACTCAGCTGCAGGAAGTACCTTTTTCCAAGTCTTGCTCTCATCAGCAAATTTTGGAAGATTGGTTGCAAAATTATCAATTTACAGTAATTTGCAGCCAGTGCACCAGGGAATAATGTTTTATGTTTATTTGGAACTTAAAAGACATATAAACTGAATCAAGAAGAGGCAAACAATTGTGTGATACTGAGTTCTATTCCTAGATATCTGCTGTGTATCTCAATATTTCTGTACATTCAATTCAGTAAGAGGATTTTGCAATAGGCAAGGAACACATTTTGGAGAAAGGTTTTGGGGGCATTATGTGACTCAAAATAATTCCATTTGTACCATAATTTTCCTTGTCTCAATTTGTTTGCCTTGGACTCATGAGGTTGTGTCTTACAGATGACCTATTTGAGGCGACAAGTAATATTTCCTGAATGCTTGTAAATGTGCAAATCTGCACCTGTCTCCATGGCCTCCTTGGCTCAGGGATTACCCTTGTTTTCAAGTCTCCAGTGGCCCTAAGCTTATCTTTTGTCACAAGGGACAGGGAAGACATCTTTTTTGCTCTGTGGACTTTTTGTGTGGTATCCACTGAGGGCAAAAAAAAACGCTTTAAGGCATTGTGGTAGCAACGTTGCCTCTACTTGATGGAACCAGGATCCAGACCATGTGGCTTTATCTGTAATATTAAATTAGCTGCACCTGGAATCGTTCCTGGGGCTGGAGTCCAAATAGCATGGAATAGTTCATATCCATATTATTAAACCCTCTTGGTCTCCAAATCAGGGTAGGTGCAGTTTGTAGACTATTGGGATTGTCCTCTGGCTCATGCTAGCTCCAGATTTGTTCCCCAGAAGTCGTTTGGGAGTTGGCTATTGTCTGGCCCAGGCCAAAACTGCAACAAGGAAAATGTAATGGTGTAAATGGTTGAGTCCAGGCCTAATCCCAGTTTCTTATTCATTTACTGACATAAATATAACTGATTTTATTACTGTCAGTTAAGAGAATGAAATGAACATCGGTGGTGGGTCACTGTTAAATCACAAGCTTGGTCTGTTGTGTAGCAACAGCAGGGAGAAAAACACTGGTAATTAGTGGAAGTGAGAGTCAAGCCAGCACTTGGTCACACGTGACCCATCCAGGCTCTCTGCTAGTTTGAGGCCCTTCACTTCACCTGTGCTTTCACTTAACCTAAGCTGATTTCCTTTTGGAAATTTCCTTTTTGGAAATTTACTTTTGTTGGATCAGGTGTTTCCTAGCTTCAGATGATGTCTCTATACTATATACTGGATTTGATGGTCACCAGCCTGTTTCAAAGCCAATGGGATAAACTCCTTATTCATCCAGTACCTTATTTAGACAGCATTTCCTCCAGCCTGAGACATATTTGCTAGTAACAGTCCTTACTTTATGGAATTTAAATATCGCTGGACTCTGCAAAAGATAACAGTTTTTTCTCCTTTCATAGAATATTTCTTTCGTTCCTTTTTGAGAGCCAGCAGGACACCTCTTCTGCATCCTCCTTACAGCAGGTTCTCACATTTCCTAGAAATATTTACATGGCAAATAGCCATAACATAGTGGGGACATGAATGGTGTAATGGGAAGGGAAAATGGGGCTCAGGTCTGTGTCCAAACAAAAAGTGGCTTTGTGGCAGAAAACTCAGTCACTTGCCAATTATGTACATGATTAAACAACTTGTGGAAAAAGGGAACATCTCTCTGTGGTGTCCTTGATGTTAAAGTCTAAAAGAAATACATTCCCCTTTGTAAATTTTTTTTCTATTTGTTTTGTTTCTTACAGATGCTGGTTTGGAAAAGAGCCAGGGAAATATATCGACTATATATATCAAGGGCCAGTGATTCTTGTTCTTCTGGTAAGCATGTATGTGGGTGGAAGGACACTGCCATCTACCATTGAGGCATAATTTGATAGGCATTTGTAATGTTCCACATGTACTTTTATGTAAAATAAAACAAACAAGGTCAAACTACTTCAGCTGTTCTCTGAAGTTGCCACAAGAGCTAACAGTGAAAGTCAGAATTGCAGTGATCTGTTTTTGGCTGTTTCCTTGACCTTAGGCAATTCTTTCCTCCTCCCTCTGTAATGCTGTTTGCCTTCCTTTGTACAATGTTTTGAGATGTGGGAAGGAAAAATGTTCAAAAACTGAAGGTACATTACAATATCTCCTCGTCTACTTGAAGCTTTTGAGTACTAGGGCAATTCCATCATGCACATTGATTAGAAAAATGTGATAATTGTGGTAAGGAATTGCACCTCCTTGTAGTCATTTACATCTTCTTCCTCCTCATCATTGTGTGTGTTCGTTTGTTAGCTTTTCTGTTGTTCAGTTTCCTTTTCAGTGCAGTTCCCAGGCTGTTTATGTGTTTACCCAACACTGACTCCTGTGCCAAAGAACAGTAGAAGGAAGCTCATGCATAAACCATTTTGAACCTTCAACCAAAGTGCACTGATGCCTTCTCAGAAAATATTGGGTGTGGATGAAAAAGATCAATGCTATTAGAAAGGACAGTGCTGAAAAGACCCAATTCTACTCATCCACTCCTTTGCAGTAAAAGCCACTTAGGAAGAAGGCAGATGTCCTAACAGAAAATTCACAGGGCTCAGTGGGATCCTCTGTCTTAGGGATCCAAGGTTCAGTATAGCTGTCCCTTACGCCCCTCCAGTACCCATGGGGAAGGTGCAAATGCTCCAGAATAGGCAGCCACTGGCAGCTTTTTCAAGGTTAAGAAGCTTTGTGCTCTCACTTCGTTAGTGCCCTGCCTTTCATGTGATTCAGCATGAAAAAAAGCTTCTCTGTTGCCTAGGAAGCCAGCTACCAAACTGAATATTTCCTAACCTGAAATCAGGAGAGTTAATTTCTGTGTTAATTGTTGAGATGCAGCAAACAGTTCATATTGTGTGTAGCTGAAAAGAGAAGAAAAGGTAGCAGGAGTCTGGTTTTATGTAAAAAGTCTTTTCTTTATGTTGTAAGGAGAGAAATAAGATCCGTGTGATACACACAATGTAATTGTATGGCACCAAGGGAACCATCCCAAAACCACAAAGAGCTTCACAATAAATAGACTCACTGATATAGAGACTTACTCACAAACAAATCCTATTTAGATACCACAAGGTAGCAAGTTTGCAATACTTGGAGCATTTAGGTTTCACATCATTGACTAGAAGTCTGTGAATCTGTGAGTGTACCATAAGCACTTTAGTTAACAAGATCTGTAAAATCCTTGGATAGCACCTCTGGCAGATACCATAGGTAATTTAGGGTCATGAAGATAACTTTGTTCTCCCCAGAACACTAATTTCTAGTTAAAGACCCCAAAGAGGAACAGAAAATGGAGGTACAGTTGAAGGCTGCCTTTATATACAGAGCTTTATATCTGCCCCTAATTTAGAGCAGCCTTGAGACTCCTATAAACTGAGCTTATAACCATACTGCCCTGAACTGACGTTGTGTATTGAACCTTTCCACATTGGCCTGCACTTGAGCTCTAATTAAAGCATTCATGAGATAACAACAGTAATTGCACTGTGGGGTAGAAAGCAGCTGATGCATTTTAGAGAAGTAACATAAGGGCAAGCTCTTCCTTTCCTCTCCTTAAGGTTATTGCCATCAGAAGGGACTTCTGGGTGAGTAAAGAGCTCTCTGGAAATATAGTCTGAAAGGCAAATCTGAAAACTCCTGTTACAATACACTCCTGAATACTAAAATGTGCCCCCGTCTTTTTTTTTTACTGTTAAAGACTGAGACAAAGAGGGTGTTAAATACATCAGCCTTGGTCACTATGTTTTCCTCTGCATCCAAAAAAGGTGGATATTCTTCTTAGCCCTCCTTTTGTTGCTAATGTATTTATAGAAACATATAAAGATGGAGACAAAGTGCTGCTTTCTTCTTCCCTCCAGTGAGCAGTGGTCACCAGAAAAGGAAGATGCAAAGATTTCAAAAATAGTACAACCCTGTGACCTCTTCCAGTCACAGATAATGAGTTAGATTTGAACTGATGAAGAATTTAAATGTTCAGCTGAAGTTCGTGTTTTATGAAAGAACATACAGGACGATGCTGTGAGAGAACTACCCCAGTGTACCTCTGGAAAGATAAAGACATACAAATGATACTAGAAGAAATGAGTTACTTCCAAAAGAGGGCTTACACTTAAAGCTAAAATTTTAAAAACTCCATCAAATTACAGTTCCTGCCTGCATGCGAGCACTCAGCCTGTGGCAATTCAAACTGGTTCCACCCACTTCAGAGCCAAGTGCCCGGTGTGCAGCTCAGCTGAGTTTTGGTTACCTGTTAGACAAAGGTGACATCATTACCTGTTCAAGAGGCATCATTATACCAGCCAGGGGCAAGGCCATTCAAGTGCTCGTGTTGGTAAATATTCTTAGTTCCAGAGGGCTAAAACCTGCTTCTAAAGATGCTAAGTCTCTTTAAAAGAAAGGAGGATTTTGTCTGTCAAAAATTATTCCCACTGGTTTTGATTTTTCATTTCCTTGCCTCTATGCATTGAACTGCTGCAGCACAAGATAACATAATGCCAAAAACAGGTCATTCAGAAGCTCTGAGCTTCACTGGGAAAAGCAGACTGGCCAAAAATAAAGCCCTTTGATCGTGGTAGCAGTCCTCAAGTCCATCCTTAAACCATATTATTCTTGTATTACATCTCAGGGTACAAAAACTTCAAACAATCCAGTAGAGAGGTTTGTTTGATTGCTTTCCTACTTGTCTTTAGAAAAAAACATTAACATTTACTTGGACTGAAAACAGAAAAACAATTTCAGAGGCAAAGGAAATTGCACATCAATGCTGATCCTGAATATTGGGTGAGAAACTTTTATTTTTATTGACAAAAAATGTGAGGAAGGTAATATAGGTAATCACGCTTCTTTGTTTCATTCCTGAATGGATTTTGGTTTGAGCATATCCCAGTAGAGATCTAACTATCCGGTAATTTAGATGCTTTGAAATTCAATTTCTGATAGTACTAGAAAAATAAACTCTCTTTGGTATTTTCTCTTCAAATTAGTGGGATTTTATATCTCTGGTATCTCCCCCCAGAGTGGCATAACCAAGTTTTAATCATACATCCCTCTCTGAAGGTAAAGAAGGGGCAAAGGGTTGGAAATACATGCCAGGAAACTGAATTTCAGCCTGATTTTATTAAGAGATCTACATTTCTTATGTGCAATTTTAAATTTGTATCCCTGTCAAAGAATTGTTGAACCATGAAAACACAGCGAGATCAGAGAATGAACCTCAGAAAATAGGCACTGGAGGCAGTTAACTGAGCTGCTTTTTTTCTCAGTAACTACTGTTATGGACTGACCCCAGATATGAGCTGCAATATTTCTCAGAGCTAAAATTGTATTAAATTTTCAGGTTTTTTGAACAGGCAGATCAAATATTCAGGTTTTTTAAAAAAAACTGAATTGCATTCAGGTTTAATAGATTTTTTTTCCCTTGTGCTTGAGAACTGAACAGTTTTCTAACCTCTGCTTTTTTGGATCTCGTTGAAAATAATTCACCACAATCAATTAACTGCTGGCATAAGTGGGTATACAAGCTGATAGGAAGCCCTGGAGTTCAATTCTGTCTCTACCTTCATCAGTTATTTACTCTTTCAACAAGACAGATTGCTGCTCTAGTTCTCAGTTTCCCCAGCTATAAAGCAAGCTTAATGATACTTATCTTCCTTTGTAAAATGCTTTGACATTCCTGGGTGGCAAGTGCTGTAGAAGAGTTAAGTGTCCTTAAGAAGATGGGCTCATCCTTACTGCAGTGGAGAATTTTGCTCAGGACACAGCTGACACGTTTAATGAAATGGTCTTTATGATGTGCTAATCGGTAACGATGTAGGACTTCTGTGGTGGCAAGATCAAACTTTGCCCCAGTACTCAAAGTATGACCACAAAAATGGAATTTTATAGCAGCATCCTGTTCTCTGGGGTTTTTTTCTTTTTCTTTCTCAGTAATGCCAAACATTTTTTCTTTCCTTTCTTGAATACCACTGGGAACCAAGATGAAGTTTTCAGGGAGCTGGCGTAATTCCAATCTTCTTTTGTGAATGAAAATACCCAGAGCTTAGTGTAATTCCAGTCTTCTTTTGTGAATGAAAATACCCAGAGCTCATAACTCTTCGTGGAAAGTTAAGATGGCTTTACTTCCCCATTGTGTTACCTTTATATTATGTGATTTCATGTGCCATGCTATTGGCTGGTCACTTAGTATTGTGAGTCCCTAAATCAGTCAGTTAAAATGATTACTCTGATGCCAATTTGGTTGGCTTAATCCTGGGATGAATTTTACCACATTGCATAAAAATGCAAAATCTAAATAAAATAATATTTACATTTCCTAGGAGTGAAGAGGAGCAAACTGTCTAGGAAGCAAAGAAGTATGAGTTTTCTGTCAAGCTTAAAATAGGAAGCCCAGCAGAAATGAGCAAAATAAATGCTAGGTGCCCATTACACTCTCAAAAGAGAAAGAGAAGAGCTTAACGACTCCTCATTTAAACTCCTGAGTTTAAGGAAAACTGCAAAGAAGCCTTCACAGTCAGCATTCCCTCTTTTGGGTATCTTGAAATATTTTGGCTATTTCATCTCACTAAGGGAGATAAATTTCCTTTCAAATGGAACTTGGGTTTTATGACAGAAAATTTTTATGGCTGAAATCTTTTACTGAAAAATTTCTTTTGGTTCAAAAGAGCTTCTGGATTTGTATGTTCAGATTATAATTTATCAGTGCCAAAACAGGTGGTCCAAATGCTTTTTGGATCACTGGCTTATAACTCCATTTTGGGCTCTGAATTTTCATCTCAATTTAGAAATGGAAACGCTAAGCTTCCAAAGCCCTGGCAAGGTATGAAAACTACTTCTTTCCCATCTGTAGTTGGAGAGGGTCTTATTCCAGCTAGAATTATGTTCTTACCACTTCATAAATGAAATTAAGAGAATATGAAATAAGATGGTTTATTCTGTCTTTGATACCTCATCTTTGGATTAATTTTATCTGTCAATAAATATCAAGGGAAAAATCCTTAGTTCTGTTTTCCATTATGAAGCAGAAAACATGTATAAACAGAAATTATTAAAAATACCAAATGAGAGTAAAGATAAATAGAAAGGATGCACTGCCTGTCATCATTACTTCTCTTAAATGTACATTCGTCAGTCTCCTTTTATGGAACTGATGTGTGGGTTTTGTTAGAGCTGTCCAGTTCTGAGATAAATTTATTTGTTGACACAGAGCTCCAATAACAACAAGAAAGTCCTTGACAAATCATTGTGTACTTTGCTAGATACAGTACAGAGGCTCTTTTCTAGGAAAACTCACTTTGCAGTAGTAAGCTCTTTCTTCCTTTGAAATGCTACTATATATATATATAAAAGGAATAAACTCCAGAAGCTTCATCTTCTTCCCTTGTAAATCAGAATCAATGTGGTAGTCACTAGAACTGTATGGATTCTCTCCAGCTGAGAAAATAGCTCCTTTTTCATTTCAAAGACTTCAGCTTTTGCTGAAGTGCAGCAGCCTGTTCCCTGTTTGAGTCCCAGATTGTGTCTTCCATCCTGAACAAACTCAAACTCAACTATGAGCAGTCATATCAGGCCCAGTGTGGACGAATGGACAATAAAAATCTTCAGATTACATCTCTTTGAATGCTACTTAAAGGTCCTACTGAGCCAAGCGTCTTTCTGAAGTGGAGCATTCTTTTAAAAGAAATCATTAAAATTGAACATACTGAAATGTGTCTCTAGGAGGCAAAAGCAGAAGCAAGTATTTTGATGTTACCACATTTGCATCTTTTGCTTTGGAATTTTTTGCTTGTTAAGCTCTGCCTTTGAGAGGTTATCCTATTGAAGTCATCAAGATCTCCTAGAGAGACCTTAATAGAGACAAAAGGGAACCCTTGATGTTGGTGCTTCAAAACATTTTTTAATCTTTCCTGTAGTATAATGTCACAGATCCTCAGTAGATACAGCCACATTCATTCAGTTGAAGCTCAGGTGGGGTACCCCTGGACAATCTGAAGATCACTGGATGGTTTGTGTGGGCAACTGGTTCAAGTCCAAGCACTGTTTTTCCAAAAACATTCATTTAAAATATGTCAAATGAACGACTGTTGAAAATTTCCTGTTCCTCTCCACTGGATATAAATAGAACCTGGGATAACCAGCTACCTAGAAGTAATCTAAAATGAAATTATGCCAATCCAACTTGCCTCCTTATGCTTTTACCCTTCTTATCCTCACTGTGTGATCGAATGGCTTTATAGGCAAGGCCAAGTCACTTCAATTTTCTCTCTTAGATAGCTAATCTAGAAGAATTAGTTATTCTCTTTCCTGAAGCAGCCTGTGGGATGAAGCCAGTAGCAGGAGCTTTGTGCATAACAACCCAAAGGCTGCACTCGTGTCCTGTCCTGGTGCAGTGACAGCTGTGGAAAGTCGCCCTGTGAGAAAGTGGAAAACAAAGCCTTGAAAGAGCTGCATATATTATTCATAGATTCTAAAGCCAGAAGCAGATGTGAATGATTTTTCTAACCTTACTTTATGCATTAAAAAAAGGCCATAGGATTCTCCTGACTTGATGTTGCTCTTTGCGATGAGCTTCTAATGCCTGCCTCAGAAAGTCCTCAAGAGTTGCCTGTTGGTGAAAGCTAGAACTCTGTACTTGGGCAGTGAGTCATTGTCATTGAGTAGTTGTCCTCACACTCTTTGATGCTTGGGGATCAGATGACCAGGTATGACATTTGTCCTTAGATGACTACCAGGGCTTTGACAGGCATTTTCAATTCATTTATTAAATGTTTGCAAAGTGTAATTGTGTGAGTAAACATTAGGTCTGGAGTTCAGAGCAGCTTAAGCTTGGGACCCTGCCTAAGAATCCAGAGGAGTTTGGATCCAGGTTTGCTATTTACAGAGCAGCCATTCATGAGCATGAGGACAGGCAATGAAATTCCCAGGTCTGAGTTTGTTTCTGCAGTTAGGTAGGGTGGCATTTGTGTTTCTGGAGCCTTGGGTGAGCAAGTGGGACAGATTTTCTGTAAATGACAAGTGGCAAATGGGTTCAGGCAGCCAACTATTAGCCAAAAAAGTCTTCTTCTGTTCCTTCATGCTTTTCCAAAAATCAGCATGATTCTGTATTCACAGCTGTTCCAGTGGGAAATGTTAAGACTATCAAGATAGATTTCATTCAGTCTAACTCAGAGGAGACGCCTGGAGAAGAGAAGACTTAGAGGGGATCTCATCAATGCTTATAAATATCTGAAGGGGTGGGTGTCAGAGGATGGGGCCAAACTCTTTTCAGTGATGCTCAGTGACAGGACAAGGGGCAACGAGCACGAACTGGAACCCAGGAAATTACATCTCAAGATGAGGAAAAACTTCTTTACTTTGAGGGTGCCAGAGCACTGGAACAGGCTGCCCAGAGGGGTTATGGAGTCTCCTTCTCTGGAGCTATTCAAAACCCTGCCCATCCTGCTCTGGGTGGACTTGCTTTGGCAGGGGGTTGGACTAGATGATCTGTAGAGGTTCCTTCCAACCCCTGCCATTCTGTGATTCTGTGGTGGTACCCAGCACAGTGAGCGACAACTAAGACAATCAGTATTAACGCTGCCAACCAGATGAATGAGCCAGCTGTCACTGGGGATCAGTGCGAACTTAGATGAAAATCTAGGTGACAAATATTAATACATCCTTTCTGTACGTCATCATTGTTTCCTTTCTGCAACCCTTGCATGGGGAATTTGGGCAAAGAGTGGGAGAATGAAAAACTGGTTTATGTAGAATAAGAGTATTTCCGGTGAAGTAACTCTCAAACTTTTCAGCTAGCAATTCTCCTCCTGGACTGATGAATCACACTTCTGCAATTTAATTTCAGAGAAGATCCCTAATTTTTCTGATGCAGCCTGTGGCAATGTGAATGTCAACTTCCCTGCTGTCACATCAAAGTAGGACTCGTGAAACTTGAAATGCTTTCTCCTATCCAGTTCATCATGTTAATCACATGTGATTAGTTTTTTGGAACTTGCCCTTGCCTAAGAGCCTGCGATTCCATCTGGCACCTTCCATTATGATTGCAAAAGTGGCAAGTTTTGGATTGCTGCCTTTTTTGCATCCTTGATAGAAGAAACATGAATTTGGCTCTGAGCTAACGAGAAACCTCAAGAATTGGTAGCAGACTTTGAGGCAGAAGTTTTCCTTCTATGGGTGAAGGACACCCCCGTCCCTCTCAGCAGACACTGCCTGAACATTTCTCTTTCTGGTGTTGAGGAACAGTGCAGTCACCAAAGTGAGGAGTTTAAGATTCAAGTCAAACCAGTGATATGGAGCAGTTTTTGTCTCTGATAAATAAAGTGAGAACCAGTTGACCTCAAGCTCTTAAATATGACAAAGACAATTCTAGCAAGAACCAGTATACAAACTGCACTGTTTTATTTATTTCTTGTACTCCCTAGGGCCCTGCTCTGCTAAGAAAATAATTTCAAAAAATGTCACGTTAACTCCTACAGCAGCGTTTTTTTTCTCACACATAATAATTGTTTAATGTACATAATTCCCAATGCTGCCAGTGTCTGTTCAGGTGCTTATTGCACCATTTGTTATGAACCATGTTACAGTAACCGCAGGGAATGATATGATGGATGCCAAGATACTGTAATCATCGAAATATAGCACATTGCACGGGGCAGGGGGGAAGGGGAAGAACATATTTTGAGAACACTTTTAAGTTGGCAGCTCTGCTACAGGGTTTGTAAATAGTTGGAAGTCAATCACAGAATTATTCCATTCATAGACTGCAAAATGCCAGGAGCCCTGGGACTGTGGAAATGTGTGTGAGAGAAATATCTCCTCACAAGCTTAGGTTGTGACCTCCACAATCCTGAGATAACAATCCTGTACTTCTGACCATATACATCGCCGACAAATTTGAGACAGACCAGGATGTTGTAAGCTACCCTACTTTATGTGTTGAAAGCAACTCAAAACTTGCTCCTAGGTGCCAAATCCTTCTGCTGATCACAAATCAGGATCTTCTTTTCAGGTTTTTTCTTTTCCTTTCCTGTTTACACTGAGAGAAAACTTATGTAAGAAAGTTGCTGGCAGATGCTACAACAGTAATTAGAGCAAATCTCAATTCTCAGTGGTGAGATTGTAACAGAAATAATTACCTAGCTCAGCAGATTAAAGAGGGAGGTGGTAAATCCATCATCTCACCTTTAAAGCCCGTGCAGAAAAAAAAATAGGCATTTTTCAGGTATGATTCATCTGCTCGATTTTAAATGTCTCTTGTGGAGTGCAATCTATAGCCTCCACCGAGTACGGAGGGAGTCCAGTGTGACTAGCTCACATTCAGATCTCTGCAATGCAGTCTTGTACGTCAGGTCTGGGGAGCCCTACCTAACCATTACCACCTGCTGTGGAACGGGAGGATGGTTTCAAACGCCTGCCAGATCAACACAGCACAGCTCTGCCAAATGCTCCACAGATGAGCCGAGCCAGAGACAGATCCAAAAAGCCAAATAAATCCCACCCTTAGTTCCTTGTGGCACCTGGGAATGGAGTAAAAGGGAGTAAAAGTAAGTTCCGCGCTGGGACCATTAATTTTTAACTCCATTTTCATTGCTGCTTTGAAAACATTAATAGCTGTTGGATGTTTGCAGCACAATCTGGTATTTCTAGTAAACTTCTGAGTTTGTTGCAATCAATGGTAAAACCAAAAGGCTGTGCTCAATCAGATTGAAACTGCAGGATGAGTCTTTTAAGATGCAATCACATCCTTTAAGCTACTGTTTGACTGACTGGTGCTATTTTTTCCCTCTTTCTTCCTTCTTTTCCAGATAAATTTTGTATTTCTGTTTAACATAGTTAGGATTTTAATGACAAAGCTGAGAGCTTCAACCACTTCAGAAACGATACAGTACAGGTAAGTCATGTGCATATGCATATTAAGATCCTTGTTCACACTAATATCCTACCAGAGTCAGAAGTAAAAGAAGAAAAGAGCCTGGGCCAAAAAATTCATATCACATCTGTAATCAACAGCAGTATCATTAATAATGATTACTGTGCACAGGGCAGGTATTTCCAGTAAGGTTTAATGTTCTTTTTAAAGTGCAGGGTGTGGGAATGAAGCCCTTTAGCTGGTACCAGCATTTGTGTACCCACTCAGTGGGTGGCATCACAGATCACAGTATCTTGTAAGGTGTTGGGAGCATTTATGGACAAACAGGTCCTCACACTGGGAAACAACACAGTTTTTGTGGAGTAAGGTTGGTCGCACTCCTCTAAATCGTTTCTAGATAAAATCTCAGTGTATCAAGCTGGGGCTTGAACCTCAATGTCCTCAAATCAGCCTCCTCTTGACTTTGGAGGCAGTTTTGCTGCAATAACAGGGATTTGTTGTTTTGCCTGATTCCTTCCTTTTACTCCTGTCTGAGGTTTGGGGACAAATGTGAAGTTAATGCAGTAGTCCAATTTTCTTGTTCAGACTCTGCTCTGCACATTTCCTGAGAAATGAAGGGGAAAAACACCCCTTTTTTCATGCTGAAACCTCATGCCATAAAACTAAAAGTAGCATAAAAAAAAAAAACTGATTCAAATCTCAGTACATTTTTATCCCTTCCATAGTTTGCAGGGAGCATTAGAGTTATTAGATTCTGAGGCAATCTAAAGTAACTGCCCTTCATCCTTGAACAGATGACAGTGATTTTATCCTCGTTACAAGCTCTGTGAGGGAATCTTCTTTTTCACAGCCTAAACAGAAAGCTGTATCATTCCGGGAAAGCCTGGGGCAAACCTTGCTGCTCTAAAGCTGAGCACTCCAAACGTTTGTTAAGCAAGTATTAAATGATGTGGCAGCTACTTTGTTAAGAATGTCACTCTGTCCTGACACTGGCAATGTTTTCGTGCTCCCCTGCCTGCATACCTGCCTGCCTTTGTCTGTCTCTTATGGAATTATACAGAGATTTATACAGACTTAGCAAAATTGCAGCCTTCTGTGTTTGTACAGTATCTAGCACAACAAGGTGCTGTTCTGCAGCTGACATCCCAAGACACTGTTGTAGCACCAATAACAAAGATTAGCCCCTAGTAATTCTGTTAATAATTGCTTACGCTTCACTGTGCACCACCTGCTTGTTTATTATTTATAAGAGAGTCCTTCACAACCGAGTTGGGTGTGCAGGTGTTGCAGAGAGAGAGAAAGCATTTCGAGTCCTGACAGAATCAAAAGATGGGCATAGAACAGGTCTCATGGGCACAGGGTTCCTGCCCTGGTCAGCAGCTAAATTGTGCATTTATCACATCACCCTGAGGTATAAGAAATCACTCACCAAACCTGCAGAGAGTCTCAAGACTTCACCCTAAGGCAAGCCTCATTGATAAGACAGAAACTGTCTGGAGAGAGAAAGGGAGGGGTATAAAAAAGGTTCCCATTTGTGCCCTGGAGTCCAGGGTGTGGGGACAAATAACAGGATTCAAAGGTTTTCCCAGAACATGTTTCTCCAGGTGGTCAGGCACTGGTCAGAAAGTGTTAACGAGCAAACTCACCTGTGGCTTCCCAACCCAAAGTGGAGGCTGTTGCTCCTGCCCTGCTCCCCTGCCAAACTCTATCCAGCCTTACAAACTGGAACCTCAGTCAGGTTCCCTCTGAAATATCCTTTCCTGAGCCTTAAGAAACCCAAGTTCTTCATTGCCTGAGGACTTCAGGAGCCTCCACCGAGGGTTACATGGTTCGCTGGTCACAAACCTTGGGCCTGTTCCTGTGCAGGCAGGCTGAGAAGTGCCTAAAACTTGGATGTCCTCCTGGGAAAAAGCTCAAATTATTACTGTGCAAATACAGACTTCCACTGCTATCCTCAGCAAGTGCTCTAGCAGCATGTCTCAGGAGTGGCAATCTGCAGCAGTTCAGATAACACAGTTGTTCTTTCTTGTGTTCACTTGGGTTTTCTGTTTCCTGCCCACAGGAAGGCAGTCAAGGCCACGTTAGTTCTTCTGCCTCTGCTAGGCATCACCTACATGCTTTTCTTTGTCAACCCTGGTGAGGATGACATTTCCCAGATCGTCTTCATCTATTTCAATTCCTTCCTGCAGTCTTTTCAGGTAAGACAGCCAGTTTGCAGCTGGTATCGGGTACTGTTGAAAGGATTCCTAATACTTTTCAGCCATGAAACTTAGGGCAATGAAGTCCCTGACAGAAATATTAGTTGAAAGTAGCTCAGCTTTGTTCATGTTTATGTAACAGATATATAAGCTTGTCATATGGAGTGGAGATCTCCTCTCAGGTGTGTACTGGAGGGATTTGTCCCCCTTAACATCATCACTGTGTTCAATCTATAGCTGCAGCTCCTCGCTGGGGCTCCATCTAAAGTCAATGGAGAGAGAGATGATGTTTCATTCTAGCCTGAGAGAGGATGATGAATCACCCTCCCAAGGCACCTCTGTCTTCACAGAGCAGACAGTGAGCTGAGACTTAAGACTAGATGTTGCTAAAACAAAGGGAAACATCTCCTACCTGTTGGGCTCATGTGATAAAGACATTAGCTGTATTTCCCAGCCTCTCACTCCAGCTCTTTTGCAATGGTGTGTGCACTCAGCCATCAGACCATACCAGCTGAGAACTCCTACCCTACCTCCTCCCTCCCCTGAATTTAATAGGAGTTCTGCCAGGATGTAAAAGGCAGTGGGGATGCCAGTAATTACCCCAGCTTTCTGGACTTGGCACAAAACCAAAAGTGACTGAAGACCTTGAATGGATTTCAGCCACACATTTCTGCTTAGATTTGTGCTACAGCTTTATCTCTGCTTTAAAGACCTTCTTGAACTGGAGTGAAAATATGTTTGACATTGATGTTTTACCTCTGATATCTCCAGGAACAAGTACTCTGATACCCAGCACGTCAATACAAATATACAACACGCATCCTGTCAAGCCAAATCTAGGGTTATGGTTTAAAAAAGTTTTGATCTTTGGATTATTGTTTTTACTGATGGCATATTTAGCTTTGAAACACAGAGCATCCCACCAGAAATCACAACTGAATATCCAAAATGAAAAATGTCCTTTTAAATCTATGAACAAAAGAACTTTAACTTTTACCAGTGAAACAATCCACATTATTCATTCCCTAAAATTAGTTGTATTTTTTTATCTGCTGATGCTCTATGTCTCAAAAAAATGTTACTCTGCTTGTTTTATTGCTAGCATGATGGAGGCATGTGTAAGAAAGCAAGCACAGGGAATCTCTCCTTTATGGTGGCAATAATTACAGTCCATTGCTGAAAGCAAAATGGGTAGGATTTCACTCACAGGTTTAGAGATGAGAGTGTCATCGTGTTGTCATCTGAGCTTCCATTATAGTCATTACAGTCTTTGCAGTCATTACAGGGGTCTAGTCACTGCTGTCAGTAGATTCCACAGAGCAATTCAGCTCCGATGAATGTGAGCAACCTGATGACACACTTGCCCACACAAGACCATCTAAGGCCATTTGACGTCCCTGTAAGTGTCTGAGACATCCACAAAGAGCTGGTAGGCACGACCTAGCTCCTGTGAGGGGTCTGTGCCATTCTGGGGAGGCAGCTGGAAGCTCTAGATAGCTTCAGCACAGCTGAAGTGAGAATCCCCTCTATTCACGCTCTCTGATCTCACCTGTGAGCTGCAAACACTGGGTCTTCTCTCATCAAGTTGTAGGGTAAAGATCTTATCTGTCTAGACGTGGGTGATCTCAACAAGATTGTGTTTGTGCTCAGGATGATCCCAGGATAAATTTCCATCCCCAATACTGCAGGGTAAAATGCTTACCTAATAATTGACTGCTTTTTATTCTTTCCAGGGTTTCTTTGTGTCAGTATTTTACTGCTTCTTGAATGGTGAGGTAAGTAGCGTCCCTTGCTGTTTGTGTAATTAATTCTTGGGTGGTGGAACCTACTTGGATGCCTGGTTACAGAGAGCAAAGATATTTTTACACGGGATCACAGTCCCATCAGTCTGTTGCTTTTGCAGAAGTTTTTGTTAATGTGCCTCTGAGTTTCCCAGCCCTCATTTTCAGGTGTCCTTTGTTCACAAAGATTTATCAAATTCAGGTGATTCCCTGGGAGGTCAGGGCAGAGGAAAAGAAGTCTCCTCAGATTGTAAAATGTTTGTTCTTTAGTTTAAGACTTCTTTGAAGTTTCTCATTAATTACAAATATGATTTCTGGACATACATTAGCATTACTTCTGAGCTGGGCTCCTGTTAAGGGTATGCTGTAGATGGCCCATTTTTATAATGGGATTGCCTTGCTGATTGAGTCAGTGATTTTTTCTGTGTGGATGTCTATCTCTGAGTGATCAATACCTGTTGTGTACAGAAAAGAGGGCTGGGGACGGGGTTGGTGGTGTTCCTCAGAATAAATTTCAGGTACTGCTACTCGAGCAAGAAGTATTTCATTAATATCCTTCAGTGTTTGACTTACACCCCAAAATGTGTAGAGATTTATATCTTTTTCTCCTACTTGCACTGCTAGCTCATTTACCTGCATTTAAGTGTGTCATCTTTGTCCAGTTAAAATTTGGGTCTCTGCAGAAATTAATTCCATGCCTTAATTACTCCTGCTGTATTGATTTATGTTTTGTACGTGCTGCTTCCTAATTTTATTGTGTGCTCTTTGAGTGGCACCATGAGAAAAAATGGATATGTCTTCTCACCCAGCTCCTCTGCAACATTTTCTATACTTCAGTCAATGAAGCACCCCTATTTTTTTAATTTTTTATTTTTTTTTTTTGCTTTTCTTCATTTCTCCTCTTCCTCATTAATTGTAAGGTGGTGTTACCAAGAAGCCACACTGCTTTCTCAGGATAGGGAAATGCCACTTCTGTATGCTGGCAGCAGAGTGTTCTCAGTTCTCTTTCCAACTTTCCTTCTATAAATTTTGACCATTCCATTTGCCTCTCAATAAGTAGGGAGGTGAAGTCTTCCCCAGTAAGTACAGGCACCTTAACTGTGGGACTATAGTTACCTCAAACCCTTGCTATATATTGAGTATATGGATCACAAATGAAAGTTATCAAGGTTTCTGTCTTTTTGTCACTGCTATATCTGTGAAGTTTGCCACATGAAACAGAGAAGAGTTTTTTCTCTGTAATGTCTTGTAGCCTCCCTTGATTTAAACAAACATGTCCTTATGACTTAAGAGTGTTTCTCTTCCTATGAGCTCTTTTACCCTGGATCACGGGGGTCACACAACTGTGCTGCTCGAATAGGTCTGATGTTCTAGTGGAGAAGGCAGTGCCTCCAGCACTCTAACTGAAGATGGCACCTTGGTAATACAAGATATCACCATAAAAGGTCTTGGTCCTGATTTTGCAGTGATTTGGTCTGACAGTTCAGCAGTGGGATCATTGAAAGGGAGAAGTAAAGCTCTTAAATTATTATTCTATGCAAAAGAATTTCAGATTATTTCCTTATGCTTTAGAGTAGACATTTGGCCTGAGATTACATTTCATACAGACCTTGGACTAGCTTTGTTGGCTGCAGTGAGAATTAATCTGATGGGTTTAGTTGAGAGAGAGTGTGTATCATTTGAGCCCTTTTACTAGAGATATCATCCTTCAGATTTTGAATATGAATGTCTTTCCTGGCCAACACATTATACACAAGTTATTCCAGTGAATCTAAGGAGAAGAAACAGTTTAGATACAAAGTTGACAGTTTTTTATGTTTTATTGCTTCTGAAAAGTTCTGAAGCTGTTTTGAACAAACTGCATATGCCGTGAATGGACACGAGAGGCCGTTGGCACTTGAGTCATATTAATTAGCCTAGAGATTTATGGATAAAAAGTTGGATTTTTAGGACACAGAGAAAATCAACTTGCACTAGAGGGCCAAAATATGCAAATTTCATTTAATCTGAAAGAGCATCTCTGGTCTTCTAAGAAAATTGAGGATGAGAGGTTTCTGAGAATTTTAAATGCTATGAAAAATGGCATAATGAAAAATATGTATGCGTTTACATTGAACACCACTTAAAAAGAATTAATGTAAGTTGTGAACTTCTTTCTCAGTGAGTGCAAAAATCAAGATGCTCTTCAAAATATTTTCTATCAACTCACAGATCACAAGACTGAATTTATTTACATATAAAACTGGATTTAAAAAAAGAAGAGTTTAAGATGGAGTTCTTTGGAACAAGGATAGATACAATGGCTTAAAACTGCATTTCCCCCAAACTCCCGTTGGACAATTTTTATTGCAGTTCACTAAAATATCTTTAGGTTTTTTTAGTTGATGAAATTTTCTACTTAGATCAGTTTACTTATAACAAGATAATAATGTGTAACCAGGGATATGCTTCCATGGTATCTCATCCTTATGTAAGTTTTGATGAGGGTACAGATGCACAGAAACTATTTAATCATCTTCAGCCTCTGTAGTACCAGCTGATGAATTCAATCCAGTAACTGAACTTGATAGCATGTATTTGATTACAGCCTGTCTTTCAAAAGAATGTCTGGTGTGGGAATCATCTCACATGGTACCTCTAATTTTTTCTGACAATGATCTCAAGAACTGAATGTTTGATAAAAACATCGCTATCCTACCCAGGTCACAGCCAGACCTGAAACTGAAAAAAGTCTCGGTGAAGGTTGTAGTTCTTTAGGCATATGAAGTGTAGCCTTATAATTGTCTGCAAGATAGGAAACTCAGGGAAAATATTCATTATTTCAATATTCAGTACCAAAAGAGGCTCACTGTTACGAAGCCAATGAAGACAGTTGTCACCTTTGGCTTTTCATAGGAGAGCATCAAGGGAAGACAACAGTAGTGACACTCACTAGCACGGTAATCACACTGTTGCTGTCTGGGCTCACAGCTTACTTAGGAGTTCTTCATATATTTGTCTCCAGGGTCTTCTTTCTGTTCTCTCTTTGACTGATTCCAGACAAAGTATCTTTAAAGGAAGATCGATCTTCCCTCCAGTTCCCTTTCTAGTGCGCTATCTACTTTCTCAGCCAGATGTCCTTGCTAATGATGGTTTTCTCCTGAGAGAAAACAAAGTATTTCAGAGAGAGAGGGAAATAATCCATTTATAGTGTTTCATATTCCAGATGTATCTTCCTGTACGGTGGTGTTAGCTTTGGTCTTACGGCTGCTGTTTGTTGGAGTCTGGAGGAGAAGAGGTCAGATCTCAGATGCTGCAGCAACCCCCAGAAAAGGAAATAAAGTATTTCTGGCCAGCTACTGATAAACCTTCAAAGGAACGAGAACTTCACTGATAGGGTTGGCTCCACTCCTGCTACCTCAACAAAAACACAATGGAAATATAATGATTATAACGGAGGAAGGATCCCTGCCTCCAGAGAACACCTATCCTTGTTATTAGGAGCTTCATATCATTTCCAACAACCACCAGTGCTGATCCCCCAGAGAGTTCTGTGATCCTTGGAAACCTTACCAGCCATAATAGGAGATAGTAACACAGCTGTATCGCAACAGGATGCTTGTGAATGAAGGTGATTGTTTGTAAGAATTACCCAAATTTATAAAGTGATAGTGGTTGAAGGGCTAGACAGAGAAGAGCAGTCTCCACTGTCAAACTGAATGAAGGAAACAAGGGAAATCCTAATTAAACATAGTGAAAAAAATCATAGTGAGGTTATTTAAGCTCTAGAAGAGAAGCCCAGAGCTGTTTTGAGATTCCTGCCCTTGGCTGTACTCCAAATGGCTGGATAAGGCCCTGACATAATTTCAAAGCTGGATAAAATTTCTATGCTGGACTTTCTTTGATCATGACATTGGACCAGAGGCCTTCTGATGTCCCTTCTAACCTTAATTATTCTATAATTCATGAATCCTATGTCCATAATAAGGTGGCTGTCCTTCATTTCTAACCATGTCCTGGAGGGATACATAACTAGTAAGGCCTGTGCCTGAAATCATCCTGCAAAACATGAATTCTTAGCTCAAACAGGCCTCATATTCTATTATTATCTGGTCAATATCGATAATCATCAATGAATTAACATTTAAAATGGAAAGCAATTAGCTGACCCTGAGAGAAACCATAACCAGAGAGGAATAGAACAGGTTACTTCGTTAGATGGCACTGTAAATTATTCTCACAATGAGGTGCAAGGCAAGGATAAATATGTTTAATATTTTTGTGTTGACCCTGTACCCAGGCACCATCTGTCTCTCAAAATCTATTAAGCTCAAAGTGGCTTACTTTGATCTGATCATCTTAGGAGGCTATTCATTATAATTGCCAGCTATGAATCACCATCTAAATGGTTAGTCATCCACCTGCCCATCAATCTAAGCAGACTTCACATTAATCATTCTGAACCCAAAGGGCATGCATTAAGCCTTCCTTCAAATCACTGAATAAATATGAATATGGGGGTGGACTAGAGGGCTGAAGTTTAATTCCATGTCCCACAATGATTGCTTTCTGAGCAGAGGCGCCCAACAGTGTGAGTTCTACTCCTAAATGCCCCTGGAGGATGCCTGGTCAGTATAGAGTCAACTGAAGGGATCAAACCTTGCTCTTGGGACCACCAGGCAGCAGTTCATTACAGGACTGAAGTATCCTCTCACTACCCATCTCCCACACCCAAGTGTCTTCTGGTAGAGAGTCACCTTCATTACTGTGACTCCAGTAGGTCTCTTCAGACTGGGGTCCTGACAGAGAGAGAAAACTGAGAAGTCCAGGCATGGTGAAAGGTAGCATCTGGTTTGAGGGTCCTTCCTCACTCCATCTTCCTTTTCACTACACCACTCCACCATTGCTGTTGTGAGTGTGACTCCAGAGCACTCCACAACTAAATCACAGAGGCTTGAGATGGGCTGGTTGCATTCATGGACTCCCTGTCCAGTGGTTAGTTCTGGTCCTTTGTGGCCCAGGAGAAAGGAGCAGCATTTGCTTCTACC